CTCCCCGTCCCCCATAAACGCCCGAGAAGGTATCCGCAGTGGGTTTAGTGAGGTATGTCTTGGGCCCCCTGACCGATCCATTCGTGGATCGGCCAAGGGGAACAAGAAGTCCCACATAACCATCCGCTCTCTTCCCGGAGAGCGGTGGTATCCATGAGGATTCCCACTGCGTCAAAAAAAAAAAAAAAAGTGCGACTGTACTGTTCGGTGTCGCGCAGAGAACTGACGAAATTCGGGACTGTTCTGAGGTCCTTCGTTTCGGCGGCTCGGGCCTGCGGCGACCGGGAGAGAGGGAAGCTCTCTGGAGTAGGAGATCTTTCAGGAGCCGTGGTGGGAGATCGTTAGGCTCACGGAGCGCCGTGCTGTGCTACTAAACGGAGTTAGGAGTCATGGCCGGCTTTGGCGCGCTTTTCAAATAGCGCTTAAGGAACTTAGAGTAAACGAAAAAATTTATACGGCCGGACGTGACACTATAACATCAAACGACCTGGAGAAATGGAATCCACAAATATTACTATTCCTCAGACATATAACGACTTACACCAGCATCTATATAACCTTTTTTTTTTTTTTTTTAAGTCAGGAAATTTGCCTAAACCAAACTTCGCCGTCCTGACCCCTGAGGGAGGGTCAGGAGGCTTCGTGGTGGATTCCCGCCCGTAGTATCCCGAAGGACTATCGGACGGGGTACCGACCTAAAACCTGACTGAAGCCCTTGGTCGTATGGGTATTGTCCACCGCGGAACCGCGTGAGCATTACTTCACGGTGGACAACCCGACCGGCGTCCTATAGGAGGACACATCCCCCGAGAGGATACTACAAGTATCCCCCCGGAGAGGACATCCCTTGCCCCGAAAGGGCATCGAGGGGAGCCGGGCTACTAGCTCCCCCCCGGACTTCCCTGGGTCGACGTGCTATGGGATCGGGGCCCTCACCCCTCTCCCTGCCGAACCCAGTAAGTGAGGTGACCACAGTCACCCACCCACACACAAATAAACGTCACAGGACGTTACAAAAGACTAACAGTGCACGACATGTACACAACCACAATGGAAACATATTAAGGGCCACAGGCCCAGCCCTCTAGGGGCCCACAGTAAGGCACTATGGCCAATCACAGTAAAGGTGGGAGGGTTGTTACTCCCACCTGTAACAAAAGACAACAAGGCAAGGACGACATAAACTTGACGCGGGTGAAGAGGCCGCGGAGTCACCTCTCGGCAACCTCCCCCGGCACTCAGTCACCCATCGCCGCAACCTACGACATAAACTTGGCGGGGCAGGGAGACCACGGAGTCACCTTTCGGCAATCTCCCCGGAACTCCTCGCACCCACCGCTACACGCTACGACAAACAGAAGACAAAACCAACACTAAACATCGGGGGCAGTACTGCAGCCCGGCACGGGGGAGCCGCCTCTCCGCGACCTCCCCCGCCCCCGACTACAGTCTACCTCCGTCCATCCCGGACTCTCGGGAGATCCCCCATCGGGGCGCCCCGGAGCCTGCGCGCGCTCGGCAGAAGGCGTACCCTTCCGACGCCTTTTGGGAGGGACGCGCACGCGAGCGCAAGCAGCCGATCCGCAGCGATGCCCCGCCGGCTTACCCGCCGACGCACAGGAAAGGCATCGGGGCGGCGCCACACAGTTGGCCGCCTTGTGCCCCGCGCCACCACATCTGTAGCAGTGACCACTGCGATCCACCTCGGCGCCACAGAAATTGGCCGAATGGCCAAACCCATGGCACCGATAACATTGAAGGGAGCGGCGAGCCAGATGGATAACCTCCAATGTCTCCCACCCCCCCTCAATCGATATCCTCTTTGCGGTCAGAAGCTTTCGCGCCACTCTGACAGGGCAGCGCAACCAAATCGTGCCGTTGCACGAATTGGGAAACAATTGGATTTCCCCGGCCCTGATATCCTCCACTCGGCAACCCCCGAAACTAGCAACTTCCTCCAATATTCTCTGCCTCTTTACAGAGAACATTGGGCCCCTCAGTCGGACATCCTCCATCCGTGTAGGGCGGCCAACCCTAATTCCCTCTACTTCTGGGAAGACATCCCTGAGCTTAGTCGCGAGTGTATCCGCCCTCGACGCCGAGTCTTTTCCGGGAACCGACAGCAAAATACTGCCGGTTACCCCTCTTCTCATTCGCATCGAGCTGATATTTAAGCCCTTTACGTCGATCTTGGATTTAGCCTCCGAAAGGACTGAGGCATATGATCTCGCCTCCATTCCCCCCCGAATCGTCAGCGAAATCACTGACGCGGAGGGGGGGCGAGAAGGAACCCCACCTACCTTCCTTTCCCGAGTAGGTCCCTCCTTAGAGGCACCCTTCTCTGCACGCTCCTTCGTCCGGGGGAGTCGTCTGAGCCCTCTCCCACGACGTCGCCTCCTCTTCCCATTGGAGACTCCAGGACCAGGGGCATCCGCCAGAGTCTCCGCAAGAGCGGAAACGGCAGAGCCCCCAGGCACAGAGCCAACCACACCACCACCGACACTCGAGACAGGCGCGCGTATGGGATCCACTCCGTAGACCGGAGTGGGCCCATCCCGCCCCCCAAGCTCTGACCTAATAGCGGCCACCACCGAAAGCGATATGTCGTCCCTCAAGTCCCCGAAGCGACGATCCAGAAGGGACGACACATCAAGCGCCGTAAAAGGGCGATCCTCCGCAACCACAGCCCCAGATTCCTCCGCCAAACCAGGCGGGGACCTCTCAACAGAGGGCAGACGAAGCCGCTTCTTCCTTGCGCCCTTGTCCATGGCGCCTTTACCTGAAAAGTAAAATGCCTCGATGTCCGGAATCGCAGAGCGAACAAACGCAAGCTCCTCCGTGAGGCGCTCCACTTCGCGTTCCTGGGCCGAGATACGAATCCTCAGGCCCTGGTTCTCACTCCTGAGAACATCCATGCGAGGATCGGCCTCCGAAGAGGTCCTCGCCACGACTTCATCGAGGATGCCACCCAGCTTCCTTGAGGAGGCTATGAGCTCCTCGGCCATGAAATCTTCAAGGCCAGGGAGACCAGCCACCCTCTCCACTTGGGTGACAAATCTATCCGCCAGTTTCCGAAGCTCCACAGTAGTGGACCCCCGCAACTCTGCACGGTATACCACGTCCGGCGGAGCAACATCCTTGCCAATCGCAGTAAGAGTTGGTCCCAGGGAGGGGTCCAACACTCTACGCGCATACGCAAGCCTCAGCTCATCACGCTCAGCAGCTGCCAGGCGTTCCTTGGCTTGCGCAAGATTGACATATTCGCCCGTTGTTTTAGGGCGACCTCGCTTTTCCGCGCCGCACTTACCTGGAGGCTTCTTTCGGGGGTACTGCCTCCTGCCCATCAGCAACCTCTTATCTAATGGAGCCCAGGTCTTGTCCCTCTTACTTTCCTCATCCTCTGTGGAACTCGCCGATGGCAGAGATATAAAGGATGGCTCCCCTACCTTCTCCGGTGAAGGGAGAGGCTGAGAGTCACTCTCCTCTTCAACTGTTTCTCCAGTCAGTGATTCTGCGGTACTAACCGCGATCACAGGTTCGAAGAACTGCACACAAACATGTTTGGCGCAGAACCTCGTTTCACTACGCGAACACTCACGGAAAAAGACGTCCATACATTTCGCGAGGTCCTTATATTCGTGATGAGCCTGATAGCTCCGAACCACTTTATTCAGAAGGACTCGGCGAATCTGCGCAGCAAGTTCCTTCTGGTCTACACTCCGGTCACGATTCCTCCAGCGTAACGCTAGATTACGCAACCGATCGCGCACAGCAGTCCACTCATTCCTCGGCACTGTAGCAGTCCAGTCTGCAGCCCCAGCCGGCAAAGCTGCAGACGACCTGTCGTACGATGACGACATGGAGGGAGCCAGGCCTACACCCCCCCCCCCCCACGCCGGTTCCCGGTACCCGAACCCGGGACGTTCTCTTCTTTTTCCGAACTCATCATGATACTGAAAAAGAAATTGGTTTTTTCTGTCAGGGGTTTTCCTTCCCCTTAGGAGGTTGCCTTACTCAGCTAACGGGGCCTCCCCCCCGGGTGTTATCTTCGGTGTTTTCCTTCACCTAGTGCAGTGGACAAGTCCTTTTTAGGGCCTGCACGCCCATCACACCCCGTTCATCCATCACCACACACTCCAGCTCGGGTACCTCGGGATTGCGACACCCGTACACTACAGGGATGAGTCTGTAGTGCCCCTGAGGGAAGCATCTATATAACCTAGAACAAAACCCTAGGTCAACGTCGGGTTTTATTCTCAAATAGGAGGGGAGATGTAACGTCCAGACAAATTTCAAAATTTCAATCTTTTTCAAAAATTTATCCTTTAACATATTAGTCATGACAATCTCTAACCTACATGAAAGACCGGTATTAACAAATATTTAATCACATATAATTACTCATAAGTTAAAACATGTTTTCTCACAAATGACAATGGGAATAGCTACCCACTTTTAAGGGAGGGGTATGCTAATTTCGATGGAAAAAAGGCATGTTTTTACGATTTTTTTTTGGCGAAACAGATAATGTTACTTTATTTATTCAATTTCCATGTAATAATACAACATTTGAAGAGTAACTTGCTAAATTTTCATCGAAAAATATCGAAAAATACGCGAGTGACAACGAATTTCCGGAGGCGCTTCTAAAAAGTAGTTTGGCGGTGATCATTATAACTCGTAGTAGAATTATCTGAAACCAAAAAATAAAAATGGATTCGTTAAAGGAGATGTTTTTCGAGGTAACGCTGGGAGAAATTTTTTTTTTATTTTTTAATTTTTAGTAGCACTTTGAAGCCAAAATTCTGATTTTTGGTGCAAAAAATCGAGTTATTTGTTTTTGTAAAATTAACAATTTTTAACAAATCAAAAAAAGCTCCCAGGAATACCTGGTAAATGTTGTTAAGAAGCAGTGTGCCAAATTTCAGAACAATTGATCGAGTAGATTTTGAGTTATCGTGATCACGAACTTCGAAAATGGCAAGTTTGAGAAAAACGCTTTAAACTTTTGCACACTAAAAATTTCGAAATAAAAGTCGATAGTTCTTTTATACTCACACAGAATCATCGATACCAGGTCCATACAGCAAGGCGTTTTCATCCAGAAGATCCAGAGCATCTTTTTGTGTTTGTCTCCGCGAAACTCTCCCTTCTTTACTGTTGTAGACCGCTTTCTCGTCTCCTCTAGTAATTCGCAAATCGTCAACTTGTCGCGCCCATTCGTGAGAACTAGGGCCTGTACCGATGTGCATCTCTTTCATGAAGGCCAACAGGGCAATAGAACCTTCATTAAAAGTACAAGCAGCTACATTAGCTGCAATTTGTACGGTTGTAGAGGTTCCACTGTATGCCTTTGGAGAGATTTTCCATATTAGCTGATTGAGGCTTTTGTTTTGTGTAAAACCTCCAAGACATCGCTGCAACAGTGCGTCCTTGCTCAAGTCCTCATAAATGGGCTTCATGGCTTCCAGAACTTTAGAAGGAAGAGCTGCGTAGCTGTGTTTGAATGATTTTAGAGCATCTGCAGCTGCAGCTTTTTGCCACTCGCACCAGGAATCTTTGCCGCTCGGGCATTTCTCGTGCTGTGGGTTTTTGTCGTTTGAACTGTAGTGGTAGTATGTCGCCCATATATCATTTTTCATCTTCTGAACTGAATCGGAATTGCGTCGAATGGCCAATCCGTAGTAAACAGTTAATTTGTCTATCATTTTGCCTGTTAATTGTTCTTTTCCAGACAGGATTTTTTTTTATGGTTTTTCCGGTTTTGGTCGTTGTAACAACTACTGTCTTGTTTACCAGATCACGCAGACGCGTTCCCATGCGTTTCTGCACATGTCCTACGCATTCCTTTTTATTTATTACAAAATCTTCACCATAAGGGTTTGCGTCAATAACGCCGCTGTACGTCTTCGAATCGCCATCTCCAATGTAATTACGATATTTCACCCCAAGAGTTTCCAAAGATCGTTGGAACATTTCTACGATTGCTGCTACCTCCATGTTTCCAGACGGTCCGACGTGGTTGGCTTTGCATTCTCCGCTACTAACATGTTCTTTGTGCCACTCTTCATATTCAGCAGTACTGGATTTATTTTCCCAAGTTTTACATCGTTGGCAGAAGCTGCTTTTTACTAAAATGTCAAATACTTTGCCAGTATGAAATCCAATGAGAGAAGCAACGCCAAATAACGAAGCAAACCCTCTTTCTTCCATGTGCCGTCGCCTGATACAGTAACTTCTGTTGTTTCTTCTAAATTATGCGTTTTACACATTTCTTTTTTTTCTTCTTCTACGGCCGATGCAAAAAACTTCTTGGCAACATTTGTTGTATATTCACACATTTCATCTACATACTTATTATATACTCTTTTCGTTAAAAAAGCACTAGCCAAGTCCATTAGTCCACACAATTTATTGCACCCGGCTAAGCCTAAGCCTAATACTCGCATTGCAAAAGCGAATCTTAAATTGACATCGTATTTTCCAGAATCTATTCTTGTAGAAGATGGAATATAATGAGGCGATGCACAGCTTTTGCATGTCATTTTGATATTAAAACCGAGTCCTTCTTTTTTGCATGATGTGAAATTGACTTCTCCATCACACTTTTTACATTTCACTATAGTAGAGATTGTTGAAAAAACCAAAACAAAATCTACTATCCTATAATGTTTTTGGAGATCTTCTTCTATTTCAATAGCGGGACGATTTTTAATTTTTTTCGACGACGAGCTGCCAGCTGTTACTTCATCGTTTTTACGCTTTTGTGGCGGTATTATTTTTTTTACTCGGTTCAAATACTTTTTACCGTATTTACGATCATCTCTAGTCACTTTTCGAGGCATTTTTAATAATAATAAATACACTCAGTAACAGTTCAAACACAAACACAGTTCAAAATGCCCGAAAATTCAACGAACTCGAACGATAACAGTCAAATTTTTCGACTCACTTTCTACCGTTCAACACGACATACAGCGAGCAACTGATGTATATACCATGTTTTCAATGCACACAAGGCTGCCTAAAAAGACGCTTTCAGCAATAAAGGAATTTAGGGGTTACGAATGAATACAATCCTAAAAAAATCATAAAAATGAAAAGGTCAGGCCATGTTCAAAAGAAGGTACTCAAAAATTTAAACGATCTAATAATAAATTATCACGAAAAGTAACTGATATGTTATTCAAGGTGCCAGTTCAAAGTGAACATACGTAAAGTGTATATTATCTAAATTTAGTAATAATATATTACCATGAAAAGTAACTGTGATATTTTATTCAAGGTGCAAGTTCACATTGAATATACATACATATAAGTAAAACTGATTACAATTTGATTCTAGAAAATAAGTGCGATATGTTATTCTTAGTGCACAAAATATAATAGTCGTTTATAGAGATTTGATTTGAAATTCATACTAGCCCGTACAATGAAAAATAATTGCTCGTAATTCCAGAGTACCAATTTGTTAATGACTCAGAAAAATAACATGGCGGCCTGCTCTCAAAAAACTATGATGTTTCTCGATGTCCATTTAGAAATAATGTCAAAGCTCTTACAGAATAATTACTACAACATTTGAGATACGAAAAGTATTACATTAGAAGAAGATTAGATTAGAATAAGGATTCAACGTATTTTTAAAAGCTCTACACACAACAAAGTGAATATACAAAACTATATACAAATACCTTTTTCTTCTGTGTTTCTGAAGAAAATTGTAAGTCAAATGAAACCTTGCACTTTGAGAACCATGTCACTTACTTTTCAGAGTCAAATTGATAAATTTTTTTTGTATATTTTAATGATATTTATTTCTCACTTGTATCTTGAATAATTAATATGTAATTTTTTATTGTATATTACGACAAATAATCAGTAAATTTTTAAGCGTATAACTTTATTGTAGTTGACCTGAGAACTGTACATTTATAAATTTTACTTAATATACACCCGTTTACTACCGTTTTACTTACCGTTTTACTAAAGAAAGATTGGAGGTTTTTAATTTATACAATTTTCACAACTCTTATTTCAATTATTTATTCTACCCATCGAAAGTTTTTTGAGAGCAGGCCGCCATGTTATTTTTCTGAGTCATTAACAAATTGGTACTCTGGAATTACGAGCAATTATTTTTCATTGTACGGGCTAGTATGAATTTCAAATCAAATCTCTATAAACGACTATTATATTTTGTGCACTAAGAATAACATATCGCACTTATTTTCTAGAATCAAATTGTAATCAGTTTTACTTATATGTATGTATATTCAATGTGAACTTGCACCTTGAATAAAATATCACAGTTACTTTTCATGGTAATATATTATTACTAAATTTAGATAATATACACTTTACGTATGTTCACTTTGAACTGGCACCTTGAATAACATATCAGTTACTTTTCGTGATAATTTATTATTAGATCGTTTAAATTTTTGAGTACCTTCTTTTGAACATGGCCTGACCTTTTCATTTTTATGATTTTTTTAGGATATCACTTACTTTTTAAAGTACAGATATATAGAGCAGCTTTTAGTAATTCAAGTATTACAAATATATGTATTTTCGATTCTTATCACATAACTTTGTATAAGTAACAATTTATGCAATACAGTTCAAAATAATTGAAATATATGGTATATATGTACATATATAAAATATATAATTATATTATAGTATACATATATATTTTATTTAATCATATATGTAAATGTTTGTATAATTGTAATAACTTTTAACGATACATTGCACATTTATTTCAATTGCAACAGAATGAATTTATATTCTTGTATGAATATTGAAAATAAAGAATGGGCCCCTCCATCGCCCATTCTCGTGAGAACGCAACCATATATTTTTCTTCGTATCTCCGATTTTAACACGACATACATATTTCTGTCTGATAATTTTTTTCTTGATGATACTTTTTGAAATGTCATGAAGCCTAGGTCAAATTAGAAACTTATTGCACTCGTTTTAATGCAGCGCTTACAGCAGCTTTTATAAAGCGCCAGAGCAGCCGATATTTTATTTTGGCGCTTACGGCAACTTTTATACAGCGCTAGAACAGTTGATGTTTTAATGTAGCGTTTACGGCAGCCTTTATACAGCGCCATTATTTAATCTGTTCTAAGAACAATATGTATGCCCCTTGTGCTCCTTTGGGCCATTTTTTCTTGAACACTTCCATATCATTAGAGTAATACCATTCCGATTTTGTGTCAGCTCTCAACATACACGTGTAGTGACCACGATTCATTTCTTCACCTTCGTGAAATATAGCGCTTATTAGCTTGTACTTTTTTTTATTAATCGTGATATTACTCGTCGGCACGGCGTTAATCCGATTGTTGATAATTTTTTTAGAAGCACCGTTTACAAAAGTATATAAATTGAGCTGTATTACTACGACGGATAAAGTTGATTCGATTACGGTTTTCTTTTTCAACACGGTGCCCTTACATTCGTTACAATTGCCGTTTATCGTTTCCCATTTAGAAAATTCTACATTAATCAAACTTTGTAGAGTGACACCTTTTTTCCTTTTTAATGTCGAATGTATAGGTAATATTAACAAACTACTGCTTTCCAGCTTAGTTACATTGTAATTACATTTGACATTCGAGCAACATGTTACGTGCTTTAATTCGAGTTTTAATACATCATTGATGTCGGAATACGTCGACATTAGAGCCGTAAAAAATTCCGAAACATCTTGTTGTGTTCGTTCTTCGAAGCGTTTTCCGACAGATCTTCTAACCGCTTGAATGTTGCAATATTTACGTTCACCATACGCGCAGATAGCATCAGTCAATGCATTCGATGCTTTATTTTTCAGTATTTGTTGCCTAATACGTACGCAATGAAACGCACATTGTAATATTACATTAGCGTAACACGAAACAGCATCGTTATTGCAAAGGCCATATATTTTCCACGTAACTATACTTTCTGGTTCCTCACAATCATAATTCTGCATATCATCAATGATATTAGGGATATCCCATCGACGATCGTACATTTTCACAACCTTTTTCTCGGACGGATTGATTTGTGGCAGTTCAGATTTGAATATAGATCTCAGTCGATTATATTCTACAATGGCTCTCGAGTTTGCTTTAACTGATGCTGGATTGAAATTTATCAAATGTAGGCCTTCCAATTTACTTACTCGTGACAAACCTACATAGGCTTGACCATCACTGAATACAGTCGTTCCTAAATCCATCATTGCATTGTTACATGTAATTCCTTCGATTATAAATAATTCGACATTCTTTAATTTGTCTCTCAAAGTTTTCAAGACCATGTCTGACAATTGCGTATATTTTGGTGTAGATTCATGACTAACCGGTAGTTGAAACATTCTATGGATTGTCAAGCCATCGATATTGAATGCTGCGATACCCGTGGGAGCAGATATGGCAGTCGTTTTTTCCAAATTTATTCTGAT